AAGAGACGTATTCACTATTCGGCGAAATAAAGTATTTTAATAATAGTCCATATACCTATCCAACACGTAATAGCCGGTTTGGTCTTGCTGACGAATAACACATACCTTACGTATACAAAGAAACCAAAAATGCAATATATAAATCGCTCCACTAGGAATCTAAAAAGTAAAGCCCACGCTCCTTGTTTTACTTTTAAATTGGAAATTCGCCTTGAGCTATCTATATAATAATATAGTCAGGTGATTTTATAATATTTGTATAGTAACTACCATGGTGTGACATAGTTAAATCGAAATATTGGGAAAGGGTGGGTAGGTATAACGACGAAAATACATTAATAATTTTAGAATATTGTGATGTTAGAGTATCGTACCCGACCGGATAAAAGCAACGGAGTAGTAGACGGCCAAGTGCCCGAAGCGAATATACTCGCGATTTCAATCGAATCAAACCGGGGTGTGCGCTGTACCAGCATATCATTAAGGGCGAAGATTTCTCTCCTTTTCCAACAGAAGTACTACTCGACGAGCTTATACGCGGGGGAAAGATATAGTATATTTCTTATTTATGGGTGTGAGAAATAAAAAAAATCGAACAAATAAAACGACGCTTATTTCTTCGATGGGGCGATTTGAAAAGTACGTGCGCATAAAACGTTTTCATTATTTGGACTTTGGAGACATTTTATATAGTGTGTCGAATCGAACCTTATTTATTCAGATAAATGCGCCCTACGAGTGTAAAGTAAAGGCATACCTGGCACGGACCACGTTTTCACTTTGCTTTCCTCGTACGATTGTTGCATATAGCGTATAAAAATGTACAAATTGCGCCGTGACTCGTGAGACTACGGTAGGTGCATATTATATATATTGTACATATTCATGTAAATAGATGACCTTTTAAATATTTATTTTATTCTCACACATTTCCAACAATAACTAACAAAAATGTGATAGAAGTGTCTGTGACACCATTATTAATATTGCACACTTATTTAATATCGTAAGACGAGAAAGATAAATGACTGATTACAAAAACATTGCACATTGTGGACCTAAAGAAAGAAATATTTGTCGCTCTGAATCGGTTAACAGTTTTCAGATAACACTATAGTATACGACTATAAACATCCATAACTAAAACGGAAAAAGTCACTGTATTTTTCATAAACCAACCTAACAATTCATTTAAATAAAAATTATATCATCATATCAAAATGTCCTTCAAACGAAACTTGTTGGACAAGTTTGATTTATCAATGGTAACTTATTTAAAAGGACAGTACAGATAAGTAATGATTTCAATTAAATATTTTAAATGAAAAAGAACGTTTTATATTATAATAGGTATTATCACTGCTCTTGATTATTATTTACAAATTAGGGTTTTTATCAACGTTTGAAATAACATTTTTGTAAAATAGAAAGAAAAATCCAACATTTTATGATGCATTAATTTGAGGACATTTTTTTTTATAAGTTTCCTTCTTATATTTCGTTTTTATTTATCCAATTATGACATGGTGACCGACCTTTACCACTATTGGGTAGTTTTGAACGAAATGGGTTCGTTTTTTTGTTTAGTTAGTTTGAAAGTTGTAAAGGAAATATAAAAATCGATTAATGCCATAATGAACGTTATAAATATTTTATTTCTGAGCATAATTAATTTTTGTACTAATCAGGTGCTACGTATATATTATCATCGATATAATTATATATTGTTCAAAACCTAATTTGAAAAATTATCATATTTTTTCACACGGATAATCATTGGTAATCGTATTTAATGATAATTATAGTGATGTGAATTTATAATTAATGCTAATCTAATTAAAAACCATGTCCATGTAGATGTAGTTATATTAATATATTTTACTAATTATGGTTTTAAAAAATAATATGAAATGGACACCGGACAATCAAGTTATAAAAAATTTAAAAATTTAATTTAATGTTATGTTTATAGATAAATAGTTTCATTTAATTGTTTTCAAGCGGCTTTTACTTGAATAAAAATAATAAATTATTAAATTACCTATAATATGTATAATAATATATATATATATATATATATATATATATATATATATATATATATATCTTATAATAATTTATTTACGTTTTTCGTTGGACAAATTGACATAATAAATTAATGGATGAATGTATTTGATGGATTTTAATTTTGTTTATATCTAACTTATTATTAGGTTATAATGTATGGATACATATTTTTTATAAATTAGAAGTATAATTATATGTATATATATTTTATTTATTATATATTTTATTATATTATTGTAATTATAACTGTTTGTTTAATATTGTCGATAAAAATCATACGAATATATTAGATAAATACCTGGTAATATAATATAGCATAGGTCATCTTATAAGTAACTAGTTATATATGTATAGTAGAGGTTATTAACTTATATAAGCGAAATGTACGTGTAAGTTATAGTTTGTTTTCATTGGGAAGTGATATTATTTAGAATTTTATGGTTTTAAATGTTGATTTTTTTTCAAACTGTTTTCCTATCATATCAATTTGATGTTATACTTTTCAAAGTAAGTTTTTGACATATTGAACAGTTTATGAGAGAAAAAAAACATTTTATCAATTTGTTTAGACTTTTATGTTCACAAAACTTCGAACTTCGATTATAGGAATTATTGATTTAAGCCCGGGCAAGACTATCTGCAGTATCTACCTGCTAGGTGACGTGGGTCTAATCGTTAATCCGAATTAATAAGTTTTAAATTTTTGATGTGAAAATAAAACTGTTTGGTAGATTCAACAATTTATTTTCGCCTTCAACGACGATCGCCATTTATTGGCACTAGAAATGAAACGTTTTAATGACGGTCTCACGGAAAGCGCGGTGTTATTAAGATAAGTATCTTTCGGGAATTGTAAACGAATTACACGAGCGATTGTTTTTATTTTTTTCGGCACAAATCGAGAAGATTTGTTTTGCACTTCAATTTCACAGGTATATATTATTATATATAGGCACGTATAATTAATCGATTTAGTTTCAACAAACAACTTAAAACCGAACGCGGTACCGATAGGTATGTGTAGGTACGGATTGTTTTCTCAATTATCGAGTAAAACGTTTTACTATTAATCAAAACAGTCCCCATTATACAATGCAATAAGAAGAACCGTCCACTCATTGTATACGTGGTTTTAATTAAAACAAACTAAGATCGACGTTGTGTGTTTTTGGTGCGAAGAAAATGTATGCAAGTTATGTGTGCTATGCTGCCCGACGAGATAATAATAATATTATTATAGTTGAAAGATTGCAGCGGCGACGTATAATCAGTGGAAATATTCCCATTCGTACTAAATGCAAAATGTTTACACATATTAAAACGGATTTCCAAGTCGATACAAATGAGTTATTATCGTTATTAGATTCGAAAAGAGATTGATGCGGTTATATTACATTTGGAGAAGGTATCGATCCGTCGGAAGGGTCGTTTTCTCGGGTAGGCCGAAGTAGTGTAACACTAATTAGTAATGCAATGCAATTAGGTAATGGAAATATATTATGAACCAAGCCTAATACCTAAAGGTACATAGGAACATTTTGTGTTCTCAAACAATCCAAATGGTTTCATGGCCAGTGCAACTCGAATGTATTTTATTGAAATCATATTTTTATTTACCTACACAGGTTCAAGTCGTCTAGAAAACGTTGCTTCCGTGTATTTTGTTTTTCCAAAGGCAACTCAAAATGTCTTCCGTGTAGTTCGCGTTATTTGTTATTTTTACATTCGAAGTAGGTAAGTAATTAAATTGAAAACGAATTTTCTAATTAGGATAATATCGACGAACATTTTGTTTTGTGTGATTTTGTGTTTTGTGTTTTGTGTTTTTCATGTTACTCGGAAAACCTTCCACTACAACAAATAAATGTTGTGTTTTAAATTCGAAGAAGTGTTGTTCGTGGATGTATTTATTAACAATTATTGAACATCATGCTATATTATGGCCTTTGTGCGTCATCATCAAGAATCGCCGTAAATTGAATAATGAACTATAATATACTATAACTTTAATGATATAGAGATCATTAAAATATATATTATATTTGGTAAAATATTAACAATCGATTCAATTAATATAGATATTGAGAAAGGTGACATTAAGTATTTAATAAAATGTCATGGAATATTTTGAGATGAAATGACAATATTTAAATAGTGTTTGAATTTTCAGAGTATTTGCATAGAGAAATGTGTTGTATGCCCAAACCGTAAGATCGAAGTGTACATATAATTAATGGCACGTTAAAGTTAATGAACACCTAGTTCAAACTTGGGTCGTTTATTATACACATCTATAGTTAGTCACAGATATAGTGACGTACACCTAGAGGAGTCTTCGTCTAAAATGTATATTGTATATTTATTACAATATATACAATTTTTATTCATTAAATTCATTTGTATTAAATGGTTTTTCTGAGTGTCTAGGCAATATTTAATTGTTTCGTTAAAATTTAAAAACCTCCTTAGAATAGTTTTATATTGACGAACGCCCTTGCCCTTGAGTATATAACGAATTTCGGTACAATTGCCCATAGTAGAAACTAAAAAATTAAACATCATGCCTAAAAAATTACCAGTAAAATAATGGTTTTTTTTATCCTATTGTGATGACATAATATGCTTTATATTATAAAAAATACATTTTATAGTTGAAGCAGTGTGCAGTATGAAAAACAAAAAATAATTGTTATTAATTATAACTTATAACATATTAATATTAAATATATTTTATAAACGTCATTATTATAGTAGGTATATGAAGTTTAATAGAAGAAAAATTGTAGATATTGCAAATCGAATTGCATTTATATTATAAACATGCCTTATCACGTGAAACTGGTCTAATTATGGACTGTAATTTTGATTTGTTAATTTTCAAAATCTAAATTATTAGGTATTGTTTGAATCGAATTGTTATAAGCAAACGTTTTTCAACATCGACGACTTTTAATACGAATTTCGGATATTTCTACCAAGTATAGGTACCTACTCGTAGTATTTGGTATACACACGGGCATTGGCACCGCCGGAATGCAATCGTGCAGCGATAAACCTTTGGTTGGGTATGAGGGTTTATGTGCTTGTCTTGTCCACCGAATCGGGTCGGTGTTAGCGTATCCGTTGGCGAGGTCAGCCAAACGGCGTGGCAGCGACCCTAAGAATATATTATATAATGCCTGCAGAGATTTTCCCGACGATCCGATTTCACGAACCATTTTCTCCAACCACGAGAGAGCTGTGCGCGGGAGATAAAACGACAAGTGAAATATTTCGTCGTTTACACTTTTTTTTATTTTATTTTTAGTTTCGATTTTTACGCACCAGCCCGAGAAAATTGCACGTGACATTTTTACCGTCGCTGTCGAAATCGGTTTTAGAGAAATTTAATTACGAGGAAGAGACGTTAACGCGTCTGCGGGGGTTTTTTTTACGGTCAAACGTTTTTTCTAAACAACGTTTAACGAATACGGTTTTGAACTTTTCAACGGGTAAGTTCGACAGCAGACACTTCAGCCACGACCCTTTTTGAGCGTAGACTCGTCGTTTTTGTAATCGTCTGACGTTACGCGTGGCATTAAGCCAAAGGGCATGAAACTCCCGAAAAATAATGCCGAATAACTGCGGTGCATAAATATTATATTATTATGGCCCCACGAAAATTTTCGTACAACAATTTCTCCCTAATTTATTAAATAAATTGCTTAACTTTAAAATTTTACTTTTTACACGTCAAAAAAAGAAAATTAAAATGCAACTACACGGCATGCCGGTACCTGTTCCATTTGGTAGTTCGAGCACGTGGTTGATAATCGTTGAGTCGTACGTAAAAAGTTACGAGACAATTCTTTTGCATTACCTATCGTTGCACGTTCGACGAGGTATACGTAATAAATATAATATTAATACACACCTACATCAAATAATGTTGGAAGCCGATTTATGCCAATTCGGTTTGTTATTTAAACTAAATTATTTATAAATGTGGTTAAACATTTCCGGTGCTACACTATCGCGAACGTTTTAACTTTTTGATAACACGATTTCCAACGATTGTCAGCTGATCAAAGAAATAATTTTTACACTTCAAATTCAAACGATTACTAATAATATTTCTGGCACCGTTGTTCATTTTTGTGCATGTATACCTAGTCGTATACTTGTATATATCGATACATATTATAAGTACGAAATCATTTATGGAGCCCGGTAATCACCACTGTAAATAGTTATAAATATTGTCTCTAAAACCGTAATATCTATATAAGTCGTTATCAAATTTAGATGTTTGGTGGACACAAAACAATATCAAATATCATTGATTAAAATGGAAAACTTCAAAGTTATTAATTCTGAAAGCGGAAAAGGATCAATATTATTAAATATTCGTTTGTAAGATAACGCAGAGTTAAATTAATAAAATGGAAGTGTTCGAATATAAACTATAGTGCCAGTATTTTAATAGCGGTTGGTAAATCTTTTCAAGCATCAAATATTGAACAATGAAGGTGATTATGTTCAATAATAAACAAAACAAAAATTAAAAGACAAAAATGGGATAATTGTACTCGAAAAGCTGGAGAAAATACAACTGAAAGACCCTTAAAAATTATTCAAACTGAGTTACTTAATAGCATACCATGCACAACAATGTCACATCATTGGGAAAGACGATGTATGAAAAAAGGAGAAAAATGCAGTTAGGCAAATTTTTATCTGAATATTTATCCAAATGATTTTTTTTATAATCATTGCCATAATGTATTTTCAAACAGATTATTCGAATAAAAAAAATACTGAACAAATATCTTAACACGATAATTGTTTTTAATTATTTTTTATTCGAATATTAGTTTTAAAAAATAATTCGAATACATTTTTATTCATATGATTACAAAAAATGTATTTGAATAAAAAGTTATATTCGAAAAAATATACAAATTTATTTGAATAATGTTGTTGGTCTGCCCTTCGCAATGATGTTATACCCAAATAATTGTATGGACCATTGATCAAATTTAAAAAAAAGTTAGAAAATATTATGAGTTTGACCTATTTGTCTGTCATATGTCGAATAAATGTTACTGTTTAACATATCATTGTGACACAAACACGCTCAGATTAAGCCTATTTGTGTCATAACTTACAATCATAATATGTACATTCGCACCATTATGTCGTATACTATTCGTGTTCTTCATCAAAAAGGTAATTTCAGACAACCGTCTGACAAACGGGTTAAAGGTTAAACTCGTCACTGTTTCGGAAGATCTAACTAGGTACTAGGTAGACTGCTGGATAATTTAAACCCACCCACATCGTAATACTATTATATTCGTGTAGGTACAAATGAAATAACAGTAGTTATACGGCGCAGATGATGCTTTTGTAATTTCCAAAACGATTAGAATAACCCGACTTAGTGAGTTAGGCAAAATGAGTATGGCAAAATGAAAGGGTTCTGCAATTATTTATAATTGAAATGACAAAACGGCAAACAAGCTGCAGCCACCACCTTACACGTTGACGAGGAAACAAATATACATAATATAGTACATGTCTCACCACTTGGCGTTCCGTTAGTGACATTATGGCATCAACAAAAAACTTGGCAAATGCCGTGTGAAAAAACAAACACAATAAAAAAAAAAAATTTAAAACGTCTGTTACTCATGTCATTTACAGGTTAAATAATGTAATGTCATAATAATTAATTTCAGAAAAAAAACTGTTTCAAATTATATTAAATTAAAGTACCTAGTTTAATTACGAGAAACAATTTAACTTCGGTAGCAATATACGATTCAACTAAACAAAGAAGTTATTTCCTAATTTATGTTAAGTACCTACATTGTACTCAAAATTAAAACAGACAACAGCCGTTCAGCAATGTTAAATTATTTCCATAATAATATGCTTATTTAATTAAATATATTTTTAAACGTGTATTTATTTTTAAAATTATTTATTTCGTGATACGATGTACATTACAGTATTATTGGTTTCAAACGATTGCAATCCTTTTAAAATATTTCTTTTTCTGTACATTTTTTTTTTTTTTTGTATAATTTGTTTGTGACATGTTTTTATGACATGTCTTTATATATTATTTACAGAAGTAGTATACTTTTTTTAGGAGCTTTCTTTTATACTTTATATTATTATTATTATACTGCTTCCTACTGTCAATAATTTAACAGTCGGGATTGACTGATTCAAATGTAGAAAAGTAGGTACATACATATTTACTTGTTTTGAGAAAAGTCCAATGTTCATAATATTTTCAACGATCGGTTTCGACTTATGTTTATTTGAAAACTGCTCACGGCAATTAAATTGTTTTTACAAACGAAAATAATTTTCAAATATTCTTAATTATATTATTATTTTTTGATATAGCCACTCGTATTGGTATTGTATTTATAGTATATTATGTATTTTTATTATACTGCTCCGAGAATTGGCAAGTTTTTAAATCGTCCAGAAAACATAACAATTGTTTCAGTCATGTCATGTACCTTTGTGCTTTTAGCTGGGGGTTGGGGGAGGAAAAGATATTATACGTTCGAAATTGCTTGTCGATTACGATTCTGGTACGATTCTCGTCTCTTCTGTTTGTACGGCTCGTTCGAGAACCTGTTTTCGATTTTCCAAGCTTATCTGCATATCGGTACTGGAATCTGAAAAAAAAAATGTAATAAATTCGAATGAGATAACAGGTACATATTACAAATATAGATGGTCTGATGGTGGGTGCGGTGGGTGGTAGATATCAATTACACCCTGTTGTAAAAATAAATCTATTCAATAATTTGCAAACAACGATTTTCAGTTAAATTCAATACGCGTGTGGCAGTCGCGTTTAACGATTGTTTGGCTTCTCGGTAATAATAGGCCATTATGGACGATGGGAAAAAGTAATTGCGCCGATGAATCTCTTCCAATATCGGTGAAAATAAAATAATGTTTTTATTATTATAGTGCAACCGCATTTGGAAATCAAACCATTATTCTTTTAAATTCGAACAAACGTAGCAACTTCACGATTACATCGATGTGCATCAGTCAGGTGAGATGTGAAAGTTCTGTTATTAATATTATGTAACTTTATTATAAATACGCAATTTCTAATGCATATTCGTTTAAAGTGCAACCATTTTTGATGATTTGAGTTTTTCTAATGAAAAAATTAATTAATTAATTACGAACAAAACAATATTATGTTATCAATTTTATTTATCATAATACAAATCATTGTTTTTATGTTCTACAGAGTGGGCGATCAATTTATTGGTTCAACTATGATGTTAGCTTATTTTTTGTGTCCTTGGGTCTTTTTATAGTAGAAAAAATCTTATATAAGTTGTGCTTACTGAAATAAAAAATATCTAGAACACATTGTTGCAATTTTTTATTCTTTTTTTAAAATTAAAATTTGTTTATAAGCGTTTAAATTTCACACATTGAAATTCGTCAAAATTATAAAAATTCGTAGGTTAAAATTCATAACTTTTTTAATCATAGTACCAAAGGTTTGAAAATTATTTTTCCTTCCAAGAAATAAAAACAAAGTTTAGCAGAAATCCAAACCAATTTATTATGGCTATGATTGGATATTTATAAGAAAATTAAAGATTTTTCGTTAAATGGTTTTAGTTATTAGGATGTAATTCCAAAAAGGTGCTCTGCTGTACAGTAGGTTACAAGTGAGTCATTGTATAATGGATGGTATTAAATTCGAATTCAATGATATAATATCCTTGTATAAGAAAAACGATTCTGAGCGAAGACGGTATGTCAGTCTAGGTATAAGGCATATTATATAGGTACTTATCTATGGTATTAAAAAAAATTGACCTATACTAGGTATATATAAAAATTCCAAATTCATCATAATATCACAATATCCATTAGGTACTTATAACGGGTTGTACATCAACGAAAAACCGTGATACTACTATAGATATATAATAGTACACTTTAGAAGTTTCAAGTACCCACGAATAATATTGTACAATCACAACAAAGTAACTAAAATAGTTATTCCAGGTTTTTTTTTATGTAATTTCGACCAAATTTCATATTAAAATGACTATAAAAATAAACTGTGATTATGTAGTTTTTAGATTTTTTGGTAACAGAATTAACTACGTCTATAAGACAGTCAAACTAAATTTTTATGAGCGTTTGATATTCAAATTTTTACAACATTGGATGATCACTCGATTTCTCATGTAGCGATTTTCTTATTTTGTTGTAATTTAAAAACGAATAACTGTAGATACATGAAAATTTCACTGAATATTTATTTTATCAATTCTTATACTTGATAAAATTTTATATTAGTATTTCCTATACAGCATACAATTTTCAAAATATTTTGACTCTTTTTGAGCTGTTTACGGACATTTACAGTTTTCAATTTTTTTAGTTTTTCCTTTCTATAAATATCATTAAAGTTTTATCTATTTGGCCAAAAAGTGTAAAAATGTAATACAATGCTCCTGATATATTGTTACAATATCAGTTGAAAAATATTAAAAATACATGGGCACAATTTTTTTTTTTTATAAGTATTTAAAGATCAAATTTTGACAAAATGCATCAAATTTAAAATTGAATAATTATTTTGTAGTTAATAATTTATAAAATGTTCAACTTTTATATCTAAGGATTGAAAATTTAAAACAAGATTCCACGTAAGTAGTGATTCTGTTATTAAAAATCTAAAAACTGTATAATCACAGTTTATTTGTATAGTCATTTTAATATTAAATTTGGATGAAATTACATAAAAAAAACCTAGATTAACTATTTTAGTTATTTTGTTGTGACTGTATAATATTATTCGTGGGTACTTGAAACTTCTAAAGTACACTATTATATATGTATGATAGTATCAGGGTTTGTTGTTGATGTATAACGCGTTAAAAGTACCTAATGAATATTGTGATATGATTAATTTGGAATTTATTATAGGTACAAATTATTTTTTAATACCATAAATAAGTATATAATATGTTTTATACCTAGACTGACATACTGTCTCCGCTCAGAATCGTTTTTCTTATACAAAGATATTATATCATTGAATTCAAATTTAATACCATCCATTATAAAGTGACCCACTTGTAACCTACTGTACAGCAGAGCACCTTTTTTTATACACATTTCATGTTAAAAGAAAAATATCCGAGTATAGTTATTTTGGTGAAATTAAAAAAAAATAATATTTATACGGACTTGAAACTTTTTCTCTGCGTAATATATTATTAATTATTTATTACACACAATGGCAATTCAAAAATATTCAGATAAGTTTTAAGCTATTTATCCGTGAACCTATTCATACAGTTCTATGTTACATCTGCATTGACTCAAAAGTGAAGAATAACAATGTATGACATACAAGTATAATATTATTATAATAATTAATGAATGCAAAGTTTTTGGTAAAAATTAGTTTAACCTATCGTGTTTTTAATATAAAAAGCGGGTAAGTGAGTAACGATCTGGTGTACATTAGGTGTCTAAAGGGCCACTGTAATGGATGTGTTAAATTTGAATTCAATGATATAAAATCATGTAGGTATACAACATCATTGTAAGGATAAAGTGTATTCCACAAAAACACTTTCACTCACTCAAATCCTCTAATTTTACACCTCTCCTCTCTTACTCTTCCTAATAACCCACCTCGCCGTCTCAAACGAAATTTGCCCATGGACCTCCTTAACATTTAATAAAAATAAATAAATAAAAAATAAAACCGGCTTAGAATTTTGAAGTAGGGTCATTGGACCCCTTCCTTCTATCATGCCTTACCATCTTGTATACTTGTACTCCCCCCTATATTACCTATTGTATAAATTATTACAGATTGTATAATATATTCTTGTTTTTTTTTTAAAAAAAGGTACATAGATAGTGTACACGAAAAACTATTCTGAGCGAAGACAATCTGTCAGCCTACAATATTACCAAGTAGGTATATTTTATGATATTATTGCTTTTTAAGTAATTTATTTTACTATTAGATATTATTATGATACAAGCGTCCTAAAGTTGATTAAATTAATTGTTGTCAAAAAAATTACATTTGAAAAATATGTCATTGTGTGATTAAAATATGATAATATAAAATCATAATTTTAAATTACAACAAAATGTCTAAAATTATTGGTTTTAATTATGGTTATAATTTCACTCAAATTTGTACTTAAAATAACTATAAAAAAAAAAAACATTTTTATTGCAATTTTAAAAAAACTAATAAAAATAAAAAATTTAATATGCCTGTAAATAGAACAACAAGAGACAAAATATTTTAAAATTGTATGGTTTATAGAAAATACTAACAAAAAAATTTTGTGTAAACATGCATCTATGATAACCACGGACTAAGATATAATGGACTGATAAACGAGAAGCTTATCACGGCCACGGTCACCATTGTACAAGAGGCAAAGTGCGGGGGGTCACTATGTGTTCCTGGAGTTCACAGCACCCTCTGTATTTAACACGGACTAAGATACAAATTGTGTAGCCAAATAAAACCACTGGTAGCGATGAAAACTTCAAGAACAGTATTCATATCAGCTAAGTAACACCTTTTCGTGGCCGTCCCCCGATCCCCACCGACCATGTCGTTTCTAGTCCATTATATATTTATATCTTAGTCTATGACCATAACTTTTTTTAGAATCACACCAAAAACCAAAATCGATTTTGTTGAATACTGTTTTTTTGTAAAAATTTCCGTTTCCTTTCATTTTTTTCCCAGCGCTTTTAAAAACTACTGTGACTTATTCATTTTTACCTCCAAAATGCAATAACTAGACCCATTTTCCTATCTGAAAAGATACTAAAGTTGAATATCGAAGCGTTATATCGACTACCACCGCTATACTTATCGTTTACACGAACACAAAAAAAATTTTTAAATAAAAATAAAAATACACATCATTGTACAATCAATACATTCATTTCTCCACTCAGAATCTAAAATAAATTACTAATTCCAATATAGATATTATATAATAAAATATCTTTGGTGATATAGGCTGACTGCAAGTCTCCGATCAGAATCGTTTTTTGCATGCAATGATTTATTAATTATTATTGAATTCAAATTTACAGCATCCATTATAACATTGGCCTAGGTAATAAATGGTGAGATATATTTGATACCTACGATACAGCAAAGCAATTTCCCACTTTTTTAAAATATAAATATAACCAAAATGATAAGATTTTTTGTGATAGATAATTTTAAATCACATCTAATCAGACGGAATCATTCGGTCTGTCACGTACACATCGAATAGAGGAAAGGCAAAGTTCTAAATTAGATCTGCTTTTGTAGTTTCTTATATTTCGTTTCAAAACGAGAAAGAAAAGTATAATTAAATTATGGGTTTTAATATATTACCCTCTCGGTGTGACCCAAATCTAGTGTACAAAATCTAAAGTTTTCGTTCCAATGTACCAAGGGAAAATATAAGTATCTTTTGAACAGAAGAATGTGTATTATTATTTACTCTAATGTGGTCATAACTCATAACTTATGAGTTACGACTCATAATATCGTAACTACTGAAGGATGGAATATTATCACAGGTCATGTATTCGGGATTGATTGTTTTTAGATTTAAATATTTAACCAATTACCTACAGTTTA